AAGAAGCTGACGAGGATGTGGCGCAGATCGCTGGTGAAGGCGCGCCTGTGGTGGAAGCTGCTCCCAGTGAACCTTTGCAGCCCCCTTTGACGGCGGCTCCTGGAACTCCGGTTGGTCAGTTGTTTGAGCGGCCGGTGGTGCAACATGCTTTGTCGAGAGCTCGGGCGCTGTCTTTGGACCAGAACCTTCAGGCCCAAGCTTTGCGACGAGGGCAGCCGGCGGACTTTGCAGCCGAACTGCGCTCAGCCATGGAACGGCAGAGTGTGGAGCGTGGCCTCAAGCGAGGCAGTGATGATGCTTCCGCTCTCGTTGGCGTTGGCCGGCGGCCCAGTGAGGCACTTTCGGAACCACCTTTGTCGATGAGGCGGTTGGGCAATGAACCTCGTGAAGTACCTCAAGAAATTCCACCTCTACCTCGACTTTCTTCTGAACCTGCTGGGGGGCCTGACTTAGTAGAGGGTCGTGTTTTACCGCGAGAAGTACCTCAAGAAATTCAACCTCTACCTCGACTTTCTACCGAACCTGCTGGGGGGCCTTTTAGCAGCGAATCAGCTAGTGGTTCAGCTTTGGTGGTGGAGCATCCCACAGGCTATTTGACACCAGGCTTTGAGGGTGTGACCTTGAAACGCGGTGACCTGGTGAACATGGTGCTCCAGACCGAGGCTATTCACCCTTTGTTGCAAGTGCAGGCCCAGGTGGAGATCGACCGTATGAACCCGATGTCTTACGCTGAAGCTGAGCGTGACCATGGTTCTTGGGATGGTCGTTGGAGCCTCCCTTCGAGTTCGCAGCACCGGCTTTTGCAGAATCTTGGCGCTCCTCTCCCCACTGGGGTTCCGCGTGAGTTTCAGGAGTGCTCTGCTGCTTTGGCGCGCAAGGAGTACAAGTGGAACCAAATGGGTCCAAAGGACAAGGAGCTCTGGGGCAAAGCTGCGGAGAAGGGCTGGAGTGCCTACGTGGACAACTCGGCGGTGGAAATTCTGTCGTTGAAAGAGTCCCAGGCCGTGCGCAAACGGCTGGCCCAGGCCGGCGAGCTCGACAAGATCATGGTACCCCGTTTCGTCCTTACCGACAAGGCGGATGGGGTGAGGACAGCTGAGAATCCCGTGCCGCCGCAGCCCTCTGCGAGACTTATCGTTCCGGGATTCCAGGATCGTGCCAACCTGCAAGGCGAACTCCGCCGTGATAGCCCTACTGGATCGAGGTTGTCTCAGCACTTGTTGCTTTGCCTTACGGCTTGGTTTGGGACCACTTGGTCCCTGCTGTCTTGTGACGTCAAGAGCGCGTTCCTTAAAGGAGATCCCTTCGTGTCCAGAGAATTGTATATTTCAGGAACCAACCCCAAGACGTCGCCGAGCATTCCTCTGCCCGAGGGTTGTTTGGCAAAGGTGCTGAAGGGCATCTTTGGCCTGGCCGACGCTCCTCGACAATGGTGGCTTCGCCTGGCTCGTGCCTTGGAGGACCGCGGCTGGGAACGCAGTACCATGGACCAAGCAACTTGGTTCAAATGGGGCCCAGGGCGGAAGCAGCTGGAGGGGATGATTGTTTCCCATGTGGACGATCTCTTGTTCGGTGGCTCTGCTGCAGCGGAAGCTTCCTTGATGGATGTGGGAACTGAGCTGGGCTTCCGCGAAGTGCAGCGGGATGATTTCGTGTGGTGCGGCAAGCGCTTCACCCGGCGCAGCGACGGGATCATTACCCTCTCCATGCAGGAGTACCACGAGAACCTCAAGGAGATCCACCTCCCCAAGCACCGACGAGGCTCTCTGACGGCGGAGCTCAACCCTTTTGAGCACAAGCAGCTTCGAGCCTTGCTCGGCTCCTTTCAGTGGCTGGTGGCGCAACTTCGTTTTGACTTGGCCTTTCAGGTGTCCTCGCTGCAAGGAGAGAAACCTTGCATTGGCACGCTGCTTCGTGCGAACTTGCTGTGCCGTGAGTTCAAGTCGAACCCGAAGTTTGAGCTGAAGTTCCGTCCTGTGGACCCCTTCGCTGGTGGGCTGATGGTGGTGACGGACTCCTCGTTGGGCAATGTGACGAGCTCTGGCAGTGGTGAAGCAGCTCCGCTGGAAAAGGTCTACAGCCAAGCCTGCTACTACGTGCTCCTCGCAGACCCCTCGCTGATGGCCGGTGAGGTTGGAGCTTTCAACGTCTTGGACATGAGGAGCCATCGGATTCCTCGTGTTTGCCGCTCGAGCTATGCGGCAGAGACGCTTGGAACGGAGGAAGCCTTTGACGTGGGGCAATTGTGCCGGGGGTTCCTAGCAATGGCCAGGGGCCTCCCGATGCATGGCACGACCGTGGACCCAAGCTTGAACAGCGTCCCCCTGACGGTGGTCGTCGACGCCAAGGACGTGCATGACAAGGGGAACAGCGACACTTCTTCTTTTGGTTCCCAAAAGAGCTTGGCCTTCACGGTGGCGTGGCTTCGAGCTGTTCTTCGGCGTCCCAATACGCGGCTTCGGTGGACGTCGACGGCCAACATGTTCGTCGACGCCGGGACCAAAGACATGGATTTGACCCACCTCCGGTCCATCCTTGATGCCGGGAAGTGGTCGGTGACCTACAGCCCGACCTTTGTGAAGCAGGTGGTGAAGGCTAAGCAGACGAAGGTGGCTCCGCGAGCGACCCTGCCACTGCCTGGAACCGCTGTGGATGGGAATGATCCTGTCATGGGCTACCTTTCCAAGCTCTGCGAGCAGAAAGGGTGGCACCATTTGGACCAGATGGGCGTTAATGTAGCTTTTGGCGCCCGCAGCTTTCGAACTCCTGAGCCGCGCTTCTCTGCTAGTGAGTACCCGTACAGAACCACTTTTGGGCGTGTTGAACAGCCTCCAGGTTGCTACCAGTGGCGACGGCTCTCGACTGACGAAGCCTACACAGCTCTACCGAATCAGCATGGCCTACTCTCGGAGAGATTCGGCGTGCTGGTTACGTTCTTCAAGAAGCAAGCTGGCTGAGCTTCTTTGAGCACAATGGTTGCGCAGCAACTTAAAATATAGGGTATGTAGAAATCCTGCATGTGCTCCGAA